TTAATTGAAGTAGACTTATGACTCTTTACTTCATTAATTATACTGTTAGTTATACTTGTAGAGAAATTGAGACTTTGAGAAATCCAATCTATCTGAGGGTTGTATTTTTTGTAACCACGATAAACCTAAAATGACTAGATTAGAGGGAGATCTAATGATATTAAATACTACAAAGCTATTATGACCATTGATTATTACTTCTATAGGAAGGATTTCATGAGTAATATCTCCAGAAGACAATAGACGACCATCTATGACTTCTACATGAACAAGTTTAGTTTTCTTTACTAAAGATATGTTATGTCTTTTAGTAAATTCTTCATGTAAGAAACACACTAAGGATCTTGAATCTACTAAGGCAGAGGCTTTGTAATATTCAGGTCCTAAAATAATATTTAATGTAAAACAAGGAAAGGGCTCTAAGGAGAGGATAAGACCTTTACTAGATGTTGTGCAAGGTTCTAGCTGCACTATTCCTATTGTAACTAGACAAACTCGTTTTTTGACATATTGTCTTCTTTGATAGCCATACTCCTCATTTTGTGGTTACGTCGTTTCTTTGGAAAATATTGAATAGTATATTTTGATTCTCCACAATATAAATATAATCCTTCTTGACAATGACGAGTCTTTTCTTGCTCAGTAAGAGGTTTGAAACATACTGCATCAATTTACATATCTTCTACTTCCGAATGTATGTGTTGAAGAGGTGTTGGTGTTGCAATTGAGTTATAGTAACGTTGAGGTCCACTTGTACGGTTTTCAGATCGAAATTCAAAAAGGCGATTGTCGCACTTTACAACAAAGTCAATTGCTTGACTCAATGTTTGAGGATCAGGTAAGTTGAACATTAATTTTTTTTACCTCATATTGTAATCCATAGAGAAATTGGCTAATAAATTCAGCATCATCCCACTTGATATCAGTTGTAAGTTATCAAAATTGTGAAACATACAACGTTACTGATCGATTGCCTTGTCGTAAAATATAGATCTTATTGGTTGCAACACGAATTGCATCATGTTCTCCATACATGGATCAAAACTCTACCAGAAAAGCCTTTAGATTATCCAATATTGGATCTCGTTGTTCAAGAAAAGATGAAAATCATGATAGTGTTGAACTTGAAAGAGGCGTACCAATGAATCTAACTTACGATCATAGAGTTGGATAGCTTTGGGGTTGAATTTCAATCATAAGTTACACTTGATTGATAAATCCTCGAAACTTGGATTTGGTGCCATCAAACTTCTTAGATAGGACAATTCTTGGTTCTCTAACACTGAAAGGGCGTTCTACCATAGGAAAAAAGACATGATTTGGTGCAGATATTAAAGCAGCTCCAACCATTTCTATATCTTCACTTTCTACCAATCTTGTTGCTCATTGTGGTGGTAAATTGAGTTGATGAACTACAAGGATTAACTCCCTCAATTGCTCTTACATTTGTGCCATTGCACTCTTCATTTTAATAAGTTCTGCCATGATAACACTTAGAAAAGAAAAGATGTCTAATATCGCTCAAGACAAATAGAAGAGAGGACTTGAGAACAAAGAAAATACTAAGGACAATATCAATTTAGAAGAGGGTAATTTGTAACTTCTAATATGCTTATATCTTATCAAGAAAAAAGGATAATCCATTCTTAATCAAGATTAGACAAAGCTCTGATATTGTAGGTGTATTCTTTTCAATTTTTCAAGGAGAAGAACTCGATGAAAAGGCAATTCAGACAAGTGAGCCTTCACTCAAAGAAAGGTAAAAAAATATAAATAAATAAGTATGTATATTGAAAGAGAAACTGGAATGGCTATTGCCAAAAGACAAGAAAACTACAGACCCTTGAAATTAGACTAGAAGCAAGAAAGGAGTTGACAAGAATGAAGAAGGCTTCACTCTTGTCTCTATATATACTATGTAAGTAGGACTATGTGGCGACGTTCTATAGGACCTCCAATATATGTTGACTTTGTAGAACACATGCCTTGACTTACAAGGCAAGTTTTTCTACGTGTAGGCCATATAGTTAGCTCAGTCTTCAAGCTAACAATATATGTGGCACATGGCCAACTTGTTGACCACGTTTCTAATCCAAAAAGACAATTAAAGACACCTATGAAGTCAAAGCAGCATCTATAAAGCTTCTAGGAAGCTTCCATATCAAATACTATAGAATTAACTTACTTTTACCTACTTTTACTTATTTCTATCTATTTGTATATGTAATTATGAGTATGTCCGTGACAAAAGGTCATGATTGATCACAAAATAAGCCAAGTTGCTGAGTGGCAATACTTATAATATATCAATCACAAAGGTTATATAGTGTAGAAAATATTTTTATGCCTAAATAGATTGGCCGTTTAAGGATCATTGGTACTCCTACAATTCTACAACAAAGATTTGTTCCTATTGCAAATACGCATTTGATTGTATCGATATCATAAGGTTAAATAAGATCTAAAGAAAGTAATAATCAGCTTGCAATTGGAATTTTTGCTAGTACTTTTGCTAGCGGCTTACAAAAACTAAACTCAAAGTTTGTAGCAAGAGGCATATTCCAATCTAGCATATAGTTTGCCAATATTATCAATGATCTTGCAGGGTTCCATGAGCATGACTCCAAAGCTCAAATGATTGAATTGGCCTATGAAAGGTCTGTAAATGAGAGACAAGTGTTAAGAACAGGGAGGTCGACAAGAAACGAGTGCTGGGAATAGAAACATGGAAGTTGGAATAGAGGACAAGAAGTTAGAGATGAGAGATGGGAGACAAAGAATAGAGAGGTGTAATGATAGTATTGACAATGGATCAATTTAATAAAAGTCTTAGTCACTTTTATATTTCTATATATATATATATACAAATCAAATAAAAATAAATAAATTTATTAATTTATTGAAGAAAAAATAAAAATAAAATAAATAAATAATTATGAGGAATATAATAAATAAAGTAGAAATGTGATTTATTGTCTTAAAGATATTAACTTAGTAATGAAATGTGGATTCATAAAGATAGAACTAATAATATATTATTTATTATGGCATTCATTATCTTTTGTTTTTAAAAGAATCAATATATATCTTAATATAAATAATATATATTTTTTATATTATTTTTTAATAACAAAAAAATAACTTATTTTTTTGGTAATATAATAATTTACTTTTATAGATAGTTTTTCTTTTGATTCTTTTAAATATATAGATTGTTGACTTCTCCTCATCTCATTGTCTACACGAGTTTTTTAAGACCTAATATAAAGACTTAAAATATTTGAAAAAATTACTATAAATTTTTGTGTTAAGAAAAAGAATTGATTATTCATATCATTTAAAGGTTATGTTTTGTAATCTTATTCTTTTTGACAATTATTTCTCTATATGTTCTAGAAGTTACATACATTTATGTCTCTCTCTATTGTATAAAAAATTCTAACTTAACAAACAAAAAAAATATTTTTTAAAATTAATTAATAAATATTTTTAATATTTTTGAAAAAAATTACATGTAGGAAATATTTATTTTGGTATTTTAGTACTTTAATATTTTAGTACTTACAAACACTCTTTTATTTTTATAAAGATGAGATCTTCAAACATCAATATAATGCTTCTATTCTTTGTTTAAAAAACATTTTGAAGAAGTTTGAAGGCTTGATTTCATTGAAATTTAAGATTCATGAGATTCCATTAGTATATTGTTGGTATAGGTGATAAACTCACAAAGTTGTTTTTTAGAGTGTAATAGAGGTTACATGCATGATACACAAATCACAAGAGCCTCAAAAATTTATTATCCCTTTAGATACATTCCTTACATTTCCTCACATGTGACATTTATTAAACAAGCCTTTAAAAGCCTCAATTATAGTTTTATATTCAAAATGCTATCCTCCCACAATTCAAACAATTTTATAGAGCAAATGATTGTACTTTTGTTATATACAACTGAAATTACAACTATTATGTATGTATCTTGCAAGGTCTTTTTACTTAAAAACTCACTTTAAAAGATCATCATTGAAAAATCTCATACTTGATTAAAAAAACACTCTCCTTTGAAAGACTTGGCTTTAAAATATAGTATAAAGTGAATTGATACCATGAAGGATATTAAATCATCTTTTCTTATTAGAAGTTAGAATAGGTCAAGTCATGCCTTGATTCTAACAATTATGAGAAGTATTAAAATTTTGATTTCTTAAAAAAATTATATTAACTTTTAGGAATCTCTATGAACACTTCTTTAATTTTTCTAAAAACCTCTTCATGATGTGAAATAAAACCAAAAGAAATTCCAAAAGAAAGAAATATTTATGAAAAAGTACATTCAAACTCATCTTTTCTTCATTTAACTTACAAATAGTTTTTTTTGAGTATTAAATCCACAAAGTCAGATTTCTTGATTTCAACCAATCAAAGTTGAGACCTTTCACCTTGTCCTTGAATTTTAAGACCCCCTAGTTGTAATATTTATTTAAAAGAAAACTAGTACCACCTTTACCGACTCCATTAGAGAGCACTCTACCAAACTCGTGTAAGGACAACACCCATATAAGCTGTCCATTCTATACTGATCCATGCCTCTCACAAATTGTTCAGATCGAATCATTCCAGTATTCAATTGCATCTTGCTTTACTTTTGGTGAAGATAAGCGCAGGTGCACAGCTTTGACCCTACTATACCTCCAACAGTGCTTCACTCATCTATTTTCGAAACACTTCAAACAAAGCGTGTTGCATATTGCTCTAGGGTCAGCAGCAAAAGATTTTCGTGACCTACCACAACGTGCAATTGGTATTTGTCATCAATCGTCATGTGGTGTTCAGCAATTATGCCACCTTCAGCCGCCTACGGCTGCAGGAAAAAACACAGTTTCAAATTCTAGCTTGGAACATAAAACATCAATGGTTCACAATTGCTTCCTGGCAACTTTAATTGTTTCAACGATTCCACTGAACAGCATACCGCATACAAAGGGGAATACAACAAGTTCACTTGGGATATCACCAGAGCACATAGTATGATCGTATTTCTTCATTGGTATCTAAATTAGACATCAACTTAACGAGAGGTTCAAACAAGCTTTTAAAACCTTCGCGAGTCCAAGAAATGCAATCCAGAAAGAGATCCTGACCGACTGTTGGAAGACGACGCCATTTACAAAGAATCTAACTCGCCTAAGGTACAGTGGGGTACCCCAGTTGTGAATCCCTCGCTATTCATAAAAAATATCTGACATCGTAGTGGGTAACCTGCTCTTGCAACTCGAAATCCTGAACTGTGAGCATCACCATCGACCAGGTACGAGCCTAAATCTTAAGCATCTTCGGGGTGAAACTTAAACTCTTTAGAGGAGAATCGTTCGTTCTTCACGACATGCGTCCATTTAGCTAGCAGGGGTAGAAGGTGTTGAGGCTGGGGCCGTAGACGACGCAGCTTTAGCCTCCGATTGCGCCAACTTTGCTGCAGTAATCTGTGACACATCCGGAGCCTGGAAGATTCTGGCTCTTCGAATTATATCCTGAACTATCCAATGCTTACGCTTGCTCAAAGGCCGGGAAGATTGCAATCTCACCTGCGAGTCCGATAAACCCGAAACGATATCTCAAAATCTACTACTGCTCCAATAAACACCAAACCGCAAAATCGTCCTCTGCTTCAAGCCCTAGTTATCCAAAAACCCACGAAAACATCACATCCGAGAAAGGGTAAGGACCCATAATCGCACCTCATCGCCAATGTTGCAGGCGTTGGTCTCGTCATGAGCCATAAACTTGGAAGTGCGGCGCACGAGCTTAGGGTAGCGAGGGTGCTGCCACATTCGCTGCACCGCGACGACGATGGATTTCGTCATCTTGTTAGACACAACCTTCCCCACCACCGTCTTCATTGTGATCGCAGCCTCTACACCTGCAAACTCCAACCTCAGACCCTTCGTGATCTTCACCTGCGCTCGCCTCGCTCCATCAACAACGCCAAATCTCCGGTAGACAAAACCCTGATGCAAGGCCCATAAACCCTGAGCGACGGAGACTGATGAGGCCTCGCCGTTCCCGAAAATGCGTCGTTGGCCACGTCAGGGACTTGGGGTTCCGTTCACACCTCAAGGTGGGGTCTAATCCAGCATCACAGTCTAGTTCTTCATTTCCTTGGAATACTGGATAGTCTACAGTTTGTCGTCTACTTACCGGGTCATAAGTTAGTATTCAATTTTCCCTTGCGGGGTGTATTCGAGGAAGGTGATGTGTAGTTTTTAAAGAGGGTTTTGACTGTTCTTGAAGAAATATAAGGTATGATTCTTCAGTTTTAAACTTGAAGTGAACCAGTCATATATTCTCACAGGAAAATGAATTTGAGTAATTTTTTTAAAAAAATTTGCAAAATATTCTGACACCCATGAGTAGTCAGATTATGCCATTTAAAGTTTCTTCTAAGAGATGTGGAACAAAAGATCGTCCCAACTTTGAATCATTCCAAGTCAGCAATGAGCTCCTCAATTATGGTTGCTTTCAACTCTTCTTCACAATCCCAAGTCAAATACTGATTTGACCACTGTGACCGACTCCACCCTAAAGTACCCCCAATTCTTCACACAAACTGAAGGAGAGGTAGATAGATAGCTAAGTAGATAGATAGATAGATAGACATATACACAAAAGCATGAGGCATGTTACATGTTACCGCCATTCCGGAACTGAACGACCTCTAAAACTTCGGACCCAAATGGTGATGCCGAAGCTTGTGGTCCAAGCTCAAGCTGATCTTTCGACAGCATCAAACACATCTCACGGCGCATTCACCATAGATTCTGTAAATCTCCGACAATTATGTCCTGTTTGGTACCGCTGAAGCAGGATCGGTTGCCACGACCTGAACCATTTTATCTTCGGCACCAGTGCTCCGAACTCTATAAATCCAAGGATCTACATAATTTCGTTCCATGGATCAGAAGCAGTAATACTAACATGCTGTGACTAGAAATGGGCCGCGACGGATCGTCATGCTGGGGTCTAGTTGAGAAACCCACGTAGATGGTCTGATGTTACAAGGTTTGAAGGAATTTTTTGCACACATAGAAAAACATATATAAGTCAAGGGAATGAGAAATACCTGCTCATTATCTTTTGTTTTTCGTGCTTGGGATTATCGATTTTCTACCCCTGGTGAGGGCTGTCTGGATTATACGAGTGAAACCTGCAATCTGGGTGCGTGGTAGAAAATATCAGGCCCCTGCGTTGAAACTGCAGTTTGGTCGTCGATGCGTGATTGTTGACGCGGCAGGCTGAGTATTATAATCTGCTTTAGATTCGGCTTTCTGCGTCCGGGGTCGAAAGTACTATGAAAAGCTCAAATTGTTGCTGTTGATGCTGACCGATCTTCATCGTTTGATGTGTTACGCATGAGCCGAATTCATCAATCGATGGGTGACAGCATCATCGCATCCCGAAGCTGCGTGGATCGCTGCGCAGCCTAGGATATCATCGGTTTTTAATCGTCAAGATGAACTGCGGTGATTCATTGCTATTGGTGACTGTTGTTGCCTTAACGGGGAGCAAAGTCGTTAAGTACTGTTTGTTGCTGGACATGCGTGCAGCTGAGTTTCCGGTGTGCTGAATATACCACAATTTTTCGGTTGTTAGGAAAACAGACTTCGGTCCTGTGGCTTGGGTTTTGATCTTGCGGCTCTTCATTCATTACGCTAGGGTTGCAGTCTGAGCGAGCTCGAACGAATTGCGGTGCTCGAACGAATTGCCGTGCAGGTCTGTTTCCGAGTTTCTGTCTGCAGCGGTGCAGTAAGTCCGTCCGTTTAGTTAGTCGTTGCTAACTAGGGATGAGAATTTGACTTTCAACGACATAGAACTAGAAATTTCATGGTGCGGCAGATTTCGTAGACAGAGCTCATGACTACGCCGATGTACTGTGCTCAGGGGTAGGCGTTGCCTCTTGATCATGCGATCCTCGCCATGAATTAGCAGGCGTCTAGCACTGCTAACGAATTTCCTTGTGATGATGCATGTGAACTATTACGCAGCTGCTTGTCCACGTGATTTCAAGAATATCTGGAAGTGAAACTGCCGTCTCAAGCAACGGTGAACTTCCCGTAGCTGTAGGATTTTGTAGAAGTAAACCCCATCAGATCAAAGAAACTGGGAATACTCTTTGCTCCGTGCCGACCCGTAGACTTTTCTATGTCACCAAAACAGGCGGTTCCGGGGATGCTGTTGTAATCGCAAGGGTTCGAGCAGTCTTGACGAGAAATCTGAAGTAGTTGAAAATTCTGTGGTCTTTTAGGAGCGCGTGAACAGAGGACGACCTGAGGACGACATCCATGGCGTGTTTTTGGAGAGTCGGTACTTTGGGGCTTGTGCTTGTTTTCCATCTGCTTATTCAAACAGAAGCCATCACAAATCCAGTGGATGGTAAGCTTCCATTTTACGAACAGCCTCTGTTCCCGCAAACCCTTCACAATCTTTTACAAGCGACTTAAGCTTTCCAATCCTGTCTCTCCAAGGATGATTGTGGTCACGAACTGCGTTATTGACTGTGCAGCTCGGGCACTCCAAGCATTTTACAGAACTCTGGAAGACCCTGATGGTGCCCTTAGAAATTGGCAAGGAAACCATCCCTGCGAAGACATGTGGGAAGGGGTGATTTGCTCTCCTCCTCAAGGACCGAGCAATGTCACATTTGTGACGGAACTGTAGGTTTCTTCGTCTCCTTCCCAGGTTTTGCTTCATTACTAGTCTAGAATCAACTGCATAAATCCAGTCATGTATTGGAACCATGCTTATTTCATGTAGAACTTTTTGAGTATAAGTCTAATCAGTGTTGCATGTGTGTGTGTTTTAAGGCGGCTTTTCATGCATAACCTTGGGGGTACTTTTGCGCCGGAACTAGGAAACCTAACTCAGCTTCAGTATCTGTAAGTGGATCAACTGGTTCAATTCTCTTTTTGGATGTTATTTTGAGGGGTATCAAGTAACATATCGAATTCGAGTTCCAGATTCTATATGTTTTGTTGAAATTTTGCAATGCTTTGGCAGGGATGTGATGTGGAACCACATGACTGGGAGCATACCTTCTACATTCGGAAAATTGACGAATCTGTATCTTTTGTAAGGATTTCGGCCGTGACACAACTCTTTCTTGAGCTTGCAATCATGGTTTTCTCACTGCGAGTCCAGCCTAGGTCCCTTTATTTCGTGATAAGTACAAATATAATGTGCCGTTCCGAAGACTCCGCTACGCATGCTTGTGAGCTAACCCTGATCATCATTTGTCGCTCTAGGCTACTCAATGGAAACCGTTTCACTGGAATTCTTCCTCCTGAACTCGGCAGCTTGTCCGGCCTGAACAGAATTCAGATCGACGAGAACCAAATCTCCGGACCTATTCCACCGGAGTTTGCTGGGTTGACATCAATTCAACACTTGTGAGTATCTATCTCACAATTTCGATGAATTTCATGGACTAATCCTCCTACCACGTCCACCTAACACCAGACGATTCTACAACCAGTATTTTGACGACATGATCACCAAACTAAATTACTGTTCGTCCAGCGATGACCATTATTTTAAGATCCTCACTATGTTGATGTGATGGCGGGTGGAATTATAGGCACATGAACAACAACTCGCTCAATGGTAGCCTTCCGAGAGAGCTGGGTACGCTACCCAATCTGGTTCACATGTAAGATTATCTACAAGTCGGCTCCTCAAACTTGCAAGTTACTAATATACAGGATGTTTTTGTGGATACTTGTTTGGTCTATTTCAGCAAATTTTACATACTTGTGGATACCACACACAAATGTGTGCCTCTGCAGATTGGTCGACAACAATAACCTGAATGGATATTTGCCACCCGAAATTGCAAATGCGCCAAGCCTTCTTGTCATGTAAGTGTGACGTTGAAGCGGTCTTTCAAAACAAATACAATGCCGCAATGACATTTTGGCTTCGTGTCGTGGGGAAGGGTTGTTTACCATCATGTTCTGGGAGCTCTGTAAAATAGATGGTGTTATCTTAGTGATTTAGGATAACCATGCATGATGTCGATTGAATGCAGACAGCTCGATAACAACAAGTTCGCGTCTAATGCTACAATTCCTACAACCTGGGGCAACATCTCCACACTATTGAAATTGTATGTGCGCTCTCAGCTCAAAACCCAGAATAGTACAATTATGCGCAAGCTTGATCTAATTTCAGTCGGATCATCTCAGGACTTCGTTGCTTCTCTGCTCAAGCATTTTGTCAGTCTCATGGAAGAAATACGTAATAGAACCAAGTAGAAATACAGCACATTTTCGAGTAATTAGGACTAGAATGAGTTGGTTCCCAGTTGAAATGACTGCTGTTGATGTAGGAGCATGCGAAACTGTGGGTTGATGGGGACCATTCCAGATGTGGGCGGCCTTCAGAAATTGGAGGTATTGGACTTGAGCCACAACACTCTGACGGGTAACATTCCCAACGCAAGCGCGTTTCCTACGAATCTCACATCAATGTGAGTAACCTCAGTGTTCCACAAACTAGTTATTATCTCACTTATACACTCTAACCTTGAATAGCAAAAAATGAATCGGACAGGCGGAGTTTTCGTGGGCATGAAAGTGAGTGCTTCAATGGCAATTTATAGTAAGCTGCTCCTTGTCAGCAGTTAAATGATCAAGTCTTCAAAATCTGGTTGTATGTGCAGAGATTTTTCGTACAATCAGTTGAGTGGACAGATTCCTGAGTCGATTGGCACTCTGCAGATGCTGGAGTATCTGTAAGATCTCACGCTCCAGTTTTAGTTACTGTCGTTTTGCAACTATGTTCAGCTGTAGATGCCTCTGCTCCAGATTAGACATGAGAAATGAAAAGAATTTATGCTGCGAATTCAAGCCTTACTTTATCTAACTTAGTAGCTGTTTGCATCATCAGGACGTTGAGGAACAACACAATCGGTGGCGTAGTTCCTAGTAATTTAGGAACGGGAAGAGCTTTCCAGGGTAAAACAGGAAGCAAAGTCATGTAAGAGACGATTGCCATCTTAATGTTATGATGTTTATGCGTACTCTTGTGTGGGCTGGGACTGCGAAGTGCTGGTAGGTCTTTGAACCATATCCTCTGTAGATTAATGTGGTTTTCTCTGCATCATTGAGCTAACTCGTGAAGAACACATTCCTGATGTGCAGCGACCTGCAAAACAACCAGCTTATGAACTTCAGTTCATCCTTGGCAGCTTTGGCAAGCAATACCAACACTGTTATCCGGTGAGTGGTTGACAAGTAATTTTTGGAGATAATCGTATTTTGTAGTCTGTCGTGTACGCGTCCATAGGCCTCAAACCCTGAATCATGAGCATGGATGCTATCTAGCGAGTGAAATTCGTGAATGCCCTTTGTCAGATTTGCAGGGAATCCAGCTATTTGTGGTCCAAATCAGGACCTCACAAACCCTCTTTGTATACCCAACAACGACCCGTTTATTGTTCCTTACGATTCTACTGTGACAATGGAGACTCCACCCAACTTATGCCAAACGTGCGATTTCATTACTGTCGGCTACCGTCTAAAGAGTCCTGGCTTCTCTACCTTTGATCGGCTTGATAAGCAGTTTGTGGATTACCTCTCAAGTGGATTGAACCTTACCCAGAATCAAGTAGTTCTAAAGAACTATATGTGGCAACATGGCCCTCGTCTGCTCATGACCATCCTACTTTACCCCGAAAACAGCAACTCCTTCAACCAGTCGGAATTTGATAGGCTGTATACTACCTTCTCTCAGTGGAGAATTCCGGACAGTGAAGTGTTTGGGCCCTACGAGCTTCTTTCATTCGACCCTCGAACTCTTCCGAGTAACTATCTTTTCTGTTCTGATTATGATTAATGTACTGCTAAATCTAGTCCTTGATGAGTGTAGAAAACGCTGTTGAACATGTGTAAATTTTTCTGTAATATAGATTGGTGATTGCAGTTCGAGTGGTTGAACAGAGTTGTTGTGGTGTTGAATGTAGCTGATGGGGCATCGAAGAAACGCTTGTCAGCTGGGGCCATAGCTGGCATCGTAGTAGGAGCTTCTGTGCTCGCAATGCTGGTAACTGGCCTGATATTGTACATGGTCCATCGGAAACGTCAACCTTCACCTGCCCTCATGGCTCAGCTTGAACGCTGTAAGAAACTTTCAATGCCGTATTGCATGATGTTTTTATTGCGAATATCGTTTAGTTCATCATCTTAATCTGCGAGTTTTAATTCGTCTGTTAGGAACATTGATCAATGTACTTCTAACGGTTGTGTGGCATCGTGAATCCTTGTGACAGTGAATAGAATGAAGAGGAATCCAGATTTGAAAGTTGCTGGAGTTACTGCCTTTTCTTTTGAGGAGCTATCTCAAGCAACAAATAACTTCAGTGACGAGAACCAAATCGGGCAGGGCGGCTATGGCAAGGTGTACGTGGGCGACTTGAAAGATGGAAAACAACGAGTGGCTATCAAGCGTGCTGAGCAGGGCTCCCTGCAAGGCGCGCACGAGTTTTACACGGAGATCGAGCTTCTATCTCGTGTACATCATCGGAACCTAGTGATCCTTGTGGGCTACTGTGACGATGAAGGCGAGCAGATGTTGGTCTACGAATATATGTCCGGTGGCACTCTTCGGGATCATTTGTCTTGTAAGTACTCCTCTGCAATCATCTTGTGTTGAACTCGGTTTATTTGTTCAGCTTCCGGGATGCACCGACTGCAGGTTAAGGTCTGATTCGATTAATCATATTTTGTCAATGCACCGCGGCGTTGGCAGGCACACCGATGGATTTCCCAACGCGCTTACGAATCGCGCTGGGCTCTGCGCGAGGAATTCTTTACTTGCACACTGAAGCGAATCCCCCGATTTACCATCGAGACATCAAGGCCAGTAACATATTGTTGGATAGCCGCAAGGTTGCTAAAGTGGCCGACTTCGGACTTTCTCGACTGGCGCCTGTGCCGGATTTTGAGGGTACCACTCCTGGCCATGTCTCCACGGTTGTGAAAGGTACTCCAGGTTATATGGATCCTGAGTATTTTTTGACGCACAAACTGACTGACAAGAGCGACGTCTACAGCTTTGGAGTGGTGCTGCTTGAGCTCATCACCGGCTTGCACGCCATCTCCAAGGGAAAGAACATTGTCCGCGAGGTAAACCTGAATTCCTGAAGCCTTACTCCCCTCTTTGTTGCATTCATGTTGTACTACCATTTTCCTTGAGGATTTGGTATTGATGCTTATTGGAATTCGTGGGCTGGATTAATCTCCAGACGCACTCAAGGATGGTGGCGGGGCAAATGTTGTCTATGGTGGACCCATATATAGCCAATTATCCAGCGGAGGCGTTGGAGGCGTTCATGCGCTTAGCTGTGAGCTGTTGCAGCAACTTGCCTGAGGACCGACCCACCATGTCTGAGGTGGTGCGGGACTTGGAAGAAATTGGGCGGCGATTCGCGGACATGCTTCCAGAGGGATATTCCAAGGACACGCCATCTTCTGCTTCCAGTGACGCACTTATTCAACCGCGCAATTACACAAAGAACTACCCTGATAACGCCGACACCAGCGAACTCTGCAGCGGCACAGTGATGCATGTGGCGCCCAGATAAGGAATGACGAATCCGTCGCAGCAAGATTTTCAAGCCCTTCAACTGGTGTGGATGAATAGAAGGGCCTCTAGAATATTGTACACATATTGAAGATCGATCTCATGCTTCATCGCCTCAAATCTCCCTTCATTGAAACAAATTTTTGATCTGTTTCCAGCTCGCCATAAGTTTGGCCCTAATTCAGTTGGGTGGATCCTACCATTGAATATAGCGTTAATGGCGAGGTCAGGGACTTGGATTAGCGTTGGAAATGAGGTATTTTGAGAGATCTTTACAACGAAAACCACAATTTCGGAAAGCAATTCTTTAACCTTGTTACAAAAATGACTCTTGGAATAAATTTAGGACATGTAATCATATGTAAATCATATTTTTCTGGCTTTGAATAGCGAGTCATTTGACTTGAAAGTTCTAGAAGCAGCTTCGTTTCTGAAGGTTTCTACAAAGATTATGCTGAGTGAAAAGAGTTTCGATTGCAGTATATTCTCATTGTGTAGCATGAATGAGCTTTGGATTGTTTATAATTCCGTGACGAAGCATTGAAATCTGTGGTGTGTGGCTTCTGGGATGATAGATTTCCCTTTAGGATTCTTCCCCATTTGGACGTAACACACGATTCCTTGAGCAAGTGAATTCCTTGAGTGTATGGCACGGCAAGTAGACAGCAAAGAGGTCGCAATCTCCGGTTCTACTTGTCTTTAATGCAGTTGCCCACGTTTTAGGCGGCTGTAAAATGCTGTCGTCTTTATTTCCTTGCCCATGCAGCCTTTTTGATGCAGCGAAGAACGTTTGAAGGGAGCACATTGCGGAGTAATTAACCAGGAAACTCGCAAACTGAGAACAGATGGGTTTGATTACATCGTGAACCATGTGTGTTGTGCATTCAATTTGAAGCTTGTCTTTTGACTGTTTGTGCAGCATTTGTTCGTTGACCTTACGATTATGACAAAGAAATCGACCGAGTTCTGAAGTACCTTCAGTTCTTTGGTTGGTTTTGCAGATTCTGGCGGTAGTGTCACCAACACTGAATCTTCCGTCAGCGATTCTATTGGGACCTATCCAAATAACCGCTGTCCTTGAGGTATCCTCGAAGAACAGAAAACTATTCTCACGTGAGATTCGAGCTGCATGCATTCAACAATTCGAAACCCACATCTCTTTGAAGATTCTCGAAGCGTTCATGGCAACGTCAGCAAACAACAAGCAACAGATGAAAGTCGTATTCAAAGCCCAGAGAAGAATGCACCAATCGTGCCGAGTCTTCAAATCCCCTCCAGCACGTACCTGACACGTCCATAATTCAAGCTCCAAACTGCGACTTCTATCTCTTTCTCTAGTAGTACCGATCCACCCTCACGCTTCTTTCATTCTCCAATTTTCGATCTCACTCAACTTCACTAATTGAAATTGTCTCGCCCATTTGTACAGAAAGCAATGTTCCAACTGCCGCTAACTCCACACATGTGGAGGTTGTAACGTCGTTATATACGAGAGCTTGTAGAGGATGCATTCCGCAATGGAAGGACACGAGAGATAAAACCCCAAATATAGAACTTTGTAAAGTAGTTCAAAATAAATTATATTGAATCAAAATAATGATCATCTTGATTTGAATCAGTTTCAATCATACCTTCCAGGTTTGTGGTAAAAACTTATATACTTTACAATTTTTCCTGGTTTCACATTTGTAGTGTATTTGTGTGTTAGTAATCAGTATTCAAAGAACAAGTATACCCTGTGTTTCACTGCAGCATAAAAAAATCAAAACACAACTAATCTTTGCAAGTTTGAACTGATACAAAATACGTGGATTTCAACCTTCAGTGCCAAATAAAAACACTCTGAATAATTATTCCAATATAGACCATACTTATACTGTAAAAATGGTACAGAATTTTTAATAGAAAAGAAGGAATGTTTGCGTTATAAAATAATTTGGTTACAAAATTTAAATCTTACATCTTCAAAATTAAGTTTCACAACGGTCCATCGAAAATTAGTTGTCACAATATGAATAGCATATACTTATTATTTTTAAAAATCTAAATAAAATTATCAGTTAAGGGCAAAGAAGAAGCAAAAAAAATGTTTGAAGAATTGAAAACAATAGAAACAAACCAAAACTTAATGGCTAAACCATTCATTGTGACAAAACAATTCATGTCCCAACTCATGCTGAAACATGTTGCGGATCATTGAAGGCATGCAAATCTGGCGTGAGCAGGAGATTAAATTTGGAGATTATCAGAAGATTCAGGCATAGACAAAGGGAATTTACGTAGTAATCATTCTAGACATCTACAGTTTGTGCAGCTTGTTTGCTGTTAGTTTGAAAGATCCTGTGATGATGCACTGATAGTACTAAAGATGGCTTCTTGAAATTCGATCTCTCAAGCATATATTTTGCTTCTGAATGTTAGCATTTGTGATCGAGCTTTAAATGATCCTCAAAACAAACAAACGAGAGGGAGATAGAGAGACGCGCACCATACACGAAGACAGCAGGAGACTTCCCGCATTGGCCAAGACCTCTGGCTCCATGACTCTCACTCGAACAGCTACCCTCCTCTTTCATTCTCCTCGTACAATTCGCTGCGACGACGACATCGACTGCACTCACACCTCCTCCCAAGCTCCTCTTCACACTGAGGTCTTGAAATCTTATCACATGTTCCAATATTCCAAGCTGTCAGCATTTGCTCATCACTCAATCACTCTTTCGTCGTTTCCTTTGGATCACACCGTTCAGTAATCATCAGCATTATTATAATTTCAGCACTGTCGCCGTCGGACTTTTCCCTGACTCCTAAATCGACAAGCTCCCCTGATACGAAACGGCGACCCTAACTTCCCGTACTCGGCCATCAGAATTGTAAGAGGTCCCTCTACGTCCCGCTCAATTGTATTTCGTCATAGCACGAATGAAGCCTCCAAGCAGGGCGAGAGATAATTCTGACCACTGCACATTCGGAATGTCTTTACACCAATCGAATGCCGTATTCGAGTTCCTGCATGCCTATGGTAACGGAAGACCTAGCCAGACTGATGAAGCAGCACTGTGGCGTTCACTTGCAGAGCAGAAGGATGAACTTGCACTGCGTTCACAGCTCGTCAATCTCGTCATAACGAAACATAGCGAATTGACTCGGTGTTAAAGCTTCCACGGAAGCTCAAGCACTCCAAAGAAATTGGCTCGTCAAGTGCCACCCCAGGGGAGCAAAGGAGAACCATGCTACAGCTTGTGATTCTCTCGCACAAATAATCGCCCACTTATGCAAAATTGTTGACAGTGTGGATTGACAAAAATACTCGAGACATTAATCTGAGATCTCTAACATTTTGCTTTTCCAGTCCGTAGGAGTTTTACGCTAAGCGATCCCGTTGTGCAATCTCCACAGCTTTAACGATGCTGCTCCGACGAGCTCGATCTGCGCATTAGCAGTACGAGTGTGGTGCGTTAGAAAGGACCTACAAACATTTCTGCAAGAACAAAACAGGGAGGCATCGATGTGGAGCAGCAATTCTTAATTAGTTTCGGGTTGATCAAGAGCTAGAAGAAACCTAAAGTGAACTGCCTCACAAGCTACGAATGCAAGTGGAATCGCTGAATTTCCGACAAAGTGTCTTTAGAGCGTGGCATGCAAGAGATTTGCATATCGAAAGGTGATGAGGAAAAAACTCATCATATTGTCACCATATTTTGTTCTTAATGTAATGTATAAATGTATGAGGAATGTTAAATAGACCCAAGTTTTTATTAAATGGATCCACCCATCATGAAAAAAAATAATGACCTCTCGATTCATTTCCCTCCTATTTGAGTTGTGACCAATAAAATCAAGAGTGAATCTGTTTAGTAAAAGCATGAGTCTATTTAACATTCCACTAGTGTATTAATGTATAATATTCTTAACATACAACTCTATTGTTGTGAATATCTCATACAAGATCTTGTAGTGTGAATAGTGTAATTTTACATCAAACATATCAATCCATAAGTTCCTATCATGTTTGGCTTAAACACCAACCAGTTAGTAATGTCCACTCAAAAATCAACCTTAGATTGGGTATTTAGGAGGATAAATATTTGAAATTGATCTTTGTCAAATGAAGAATTTGGGAAGGTTCAAAAAATTTCAACATACTCAAATACGTTGGTATTTTAAGTATGATGAGAGTAGTCCAAAGAAAAATATAATCCATCAAAATAATACAATATAATTATAAAAATTGGTGCATGAAGTAAATTTGTTATTATGGTATTTGTTTAAAGATCAACTCTAAAGATAGTTTTGTTAAAAAATTTAATGATAATGTTATTAATTCTAGTCTTAAATTATAAGAGATTATTTTTAAAAGTATGAGATTTCACAAAAAAGAATTACTTTCATGATACTTTATATATATATATATATATATATATATATATAATAAATTACTTAGACTATATCATATAATGTTATTTGAATTTTGAATAATTTTTTTAACAATAATTAATCACCTATTCTTTATTTTTTTAATATAATTTTCTAAAATAAATGAGTTGCAGAAAATATAAAAAGAAAAAAATAATAATCCATCTTATATGATAATATCCTTACTATAGAGCAGATATAGGAAGATCAAATTAGTGAAAAAAATTATGCAACTTTTCTATCTCACCAATCTTTATCATGTGTAGACATAATTAAACTGCTAAGATAGATATGTCATCTTTTTTATCTATTATATTTCTTACTATTTAAAAACAGTTCATTTGATTTGATAGAAATAGCTTCTAAATATGGTTTTTTTTTCTTTCTTTTTATAATATCTTTCTATACTTGTTTAAGCTACTTTATATTAATTTTTTTAGTATATTTTTATTTATAAACTTTTATTTAAATACTAAATTTATAATTTTAGTCCTATGTTATTTTTTCTTAAATTTAATTGTATGAACTTTTTTTTCTTTATAAGCTTCTTTGTTCTAATATAAGACCTAAGATCAAAATTCTATGTAATATAATTCTATTCAATAGTATATCAAAAAAAAAAAAAAAAAAAAAAAAGAAAAAATCTTTAAATATTTATTTTAAAAAAAAAAACATCTAGAGTGATATAAAGCTCTATTTCATTTTATTTTTATATTTTAAGGAAAGAATAAGATTACAAATATTCTATTCTAATTTCAATATATAAAATTTTCTAGTCAAGAAATGCTAAATTCAAAATACATTCACATAGATAGAAAGTCCATGCACTACAGGTACAAACCTTGGCATTAATCTAAGAGAGATTATTGCAAGATTTTTTGTTTAAAAAAAATTCTTATAGTATACTAATTGCCTTAATTATTTGATTAAATAGAAGTAAATATAAATAGAAAAAATAAATTAGATAGATAATATTTTTATCAAGAAACTTTGAAGAATTATTTTAGATGTATGTGAAATCTATAAATTCTATTAGATTTATTATATAGCAAGTAACTCTTATTTTATAGTTATTTTATATTTAAGAAGTTATATTAGAAGCAACAAGCCTATTCATCCTTGGAAAGCTTCCACAAGGTTGATTGGTAGTTAATATATGCTAAGGCTATCCTTGTTTTATATATATATATATATAATCTTAATTTAAGCTTCTAAACAAAAGCCATTCAAATTTGAGACTTAGACAAGACTAAGATATATAACATCAAAATTTGATTTCTTTTTATAAAGAGTGAATTATCTTTTTTTAAAACCATCAAAATTTGATCTATTTTTATAAATAATAAATTATTATTTTTTAAAATCATCAAAATATATCAAATATTTTTAATTAATTTTTTAAAAATTAAATCATTATTTTTATAATATAATTTTTTATCTTTTTTATTTTGTATAAAAAATTACATTCCTATAGTAATAGAATTTTTTTTTAAAATAAAGAATATTCCAAAAAACTTCAAGTACATCAACTTATTTTATTAAATCAACCAACATCAAAAGTGAGAAAACAAAAAGAAGTAGAAATGACAAGAATTTCTTCAATAATTGCACTATTTTAAGTAATTCATATTAATAAAATAATAATAATAATAATAATAATTAAAGAACTAAGAGTATTTTTTATTAAAATAAATTATGATACTAAATTTAAGTTTTGTGAATTTATTAATCAAATATAAATTATTAAACTTCAATTTCTTAGTTATTCAATAAAAATATCTAAAATAAATTATTTAAAGTTTAGTTTGTAGATTTATTCTTTTTTAATTTTTATTATTTTTAAAATAAAATAAAATTACATTAGATAATTTAGATGGATTTTTGGAAAAAAATGAATCCATACATAAAAAACATGAAATAATTTGCATATATATCAAAAAAATCCAGATATTATAATAAAAAAATATTATATTAACATATATATGTCAAAGATATGAATTAAAAATAATAAAATCTTCAATATTTTCTTAGATTATTCAAAAAGTATAAGTATTTACTAAAAGATAATAATATATTAGAACTAAAATGGCTTTATTAAAGACAAGAAGACTATAGACTCTTAAAACAAGACTAAAAATAAGAAAAAATTGACAATAGTGAAGAAGACTTTATTTTGGCTTCTATATATGTTATCTAATTAATAGCTATGTGATAACATTCTATAAGACCTTTGACATATATCTAATTTGCAAGGCAAGTTTCTTTAATGTGAGTCACATAGAAAACTTCTACTACAAGTTGCCAACATATGTAACACATGTCTAAATTGTTGGCGAAGTTTTTCTTTCAAAAATTGGATGTTTAATAATGAATAAACATGACAAATTCATTTCTCATATTTTTGAAAGTATTTTGGCTAAAAAATAATAATGTGATATTTTATACTCAAATAAATAAAAAATAAAAATATTACAGCTTATCATTGAGGTACTCCTAAGTTCTGTGGTGTTGCAAACAAATATTATACTAAAAGAAGCATTTATATCTTCAATGTCGAGTTGTAACACGAGTATACCGTGAAAATATAAAGAAAGGGGACTTTTAATAATGTTCAGTTACCTCAAATATTAGGAGCAACGACCAATTCCAGTGCAAATACTGAGAGGCCAGGGTCAGTCATCCCATTACAGTCAGCCGGGGCATACTGAAATGCTCCGTTCGATTCCAATAACAAGAGTCAGCAGAAAGGAAAATGATCAATTCAACGATCGGTGAGCCTGGTTTGAAGAGCCAATTAGATCCAATTTCAAGACATCTAATCCAGGTCCTATTACGGGCCTCTTATCCAATATGAGACCTGACTTCGTCAAGCAATCCAATGCGGTCCAATTACAGGAACATCCACGTCTTACTACGGGCCTCTTAGCCAATATGAGACCTAAATTGGTCGAGCGACTCAATGTGGTCCCGATTACTAGGGTTTCGATTCCGTTTCAGGCTGTTCCATCCTTTGTGCCATTCCAGGAACGTCCTTTTGGTAAAAGGATCTCTTAAAGGTAAACATGGAGGAGAAAGCTCTGACGGCGGGAGCCAATTTTGGATTCAAGACAAAAAATTGAAGAAATTCAAAGGCTAGGGTTTGAAAGAGAGGAGAGAATAAGGGTTTGAAAAGGGTCGGGGAGCAAGCTTCATGCTTCGGGGCGGGAAAAAAAGACACAGAATTGGGGTTTTTTTTTTCTTCATAGGGTTTTGGGAAGACTGAAGCAATCGTTGCTGAAGTCAATGTTGTAAAGGTGAATCGAGATTTTTAATGAAGTGGGTGTGATTACTCTTGACTGTTGTATGAAATTGAAGTTACGTCTGTGATTGAAGAATTAAAAGGGTGTCTATAGGATTGAGTATGTGGAGTGAATGAAAAATTTTGGGTTAATCTAACAAGACAGTCAGTGGATATAAGGTCGTAAGTATAAAGCAGTATCAGAGATTAGCAGATTGGGTTGTTCGGGATTCTCTGTAATGTCTAGAGACCTACCGGTTGGGGCAAAAAGGACTTTGGCGAGCAGTCAAAAGACATCCGTATAGATTTACGGTATATTTTTACAATTGTTTATATTCCAACAGTCAAAAACCGATAGACTGCTTGAATATTAGCGAATCTCCATACTACCTTCTACAGCCAGACAATCGGCGCGTTCTCGAGTAGGAAAGTACGTAATACGACATAAGTGGTGAACCCGATGTGAAAGCTTGAGGTGGAAGGTATTGGATTTCGTTTGATTTTATTTTTATTTTTATTTTATGGAAAACGAAAATAAAAATTTTGAAGGATCTTTGGGAGGAGATTTTGGTGGAGGTTCTTCTAAAGGACAAGGTATGCACATAGATCCGTCTATTGCTAGTGTCACGGACACAAAATACAGACTTGAAATCTAACAAGAAGTTCAAGAAGAAGTGACAGAACTAGATTAAACAGATGAGTACAAGAACAACACTAGAAAGGTGAGCTAGAACTCCAAGAGATGTGTTGTCGAGACTGAAGAATTCTTCAGCCTCGACTCTTATATATACTACTGGCCTATGGTTCTAAGGAAGCGCATCAAGAAGCTTCCCAAGAACTATGAAGCTTCTCGAGCAACTACCCAAGAGTTGGGAAGCTTTTCAAGTAACTTCCTAGAATCTACTAGAATATTCTAAGAATCTTCTAGAGCCTTTTAAGGGAATCTTTAGGAAATCTTTGAAGAATATTCCAAGAGAATATTCAAGGAATCTTCTGGAAGT